AAATTTTTTGAATCATTAAATAAAATTTTATTTTATTATTTAATAATGAATTTTATTCATAAATGAATTTGTTTCTTTTTATGCCAACGTTTCGACAGTTCTACTATCATTATAAATACATACGATAGAGATGCCCATTGGTAAATATAGTTTAAAGAACGAAAAAGTGAACTTCTGGTTGTGGCTAACTACCATAAACTTTACAGATATCTCTACAATGATGGAGTCAGTGTTATGAGCCCCCATAATACTGATCATTTGCCTCTGTGGTGCTGCATCAATCCTGTTTTATCTTGACTTTTGGTTTTTTTTTGTTGGAGTTTCTCCGGATATATTCTGAGTAGTACAGAGCAAACAGTTCTATTTAGTGTGCATTGATAAACAGCAATGATTAACGGCTCTTACTACAAATCGACATTGTTTTGTATCTTTCGTGATGACTTTCCAATCAATCCACTTAATATTATGATTATTACGACTATATTTGTTTTGTTTTTTAAAGTTTCAAACCTTTCTTCTTTCGGAGAATATTTTACTTTTTTAATTCTATATTTATGTCGGATCTACATAAACTATGTGAATTAAATCTTGCAGTTGATGGTTGCAAAGATAGAGATATTTCTTTTTTTTTAGATTAGCATCATGTTCATAGAATCTTCTGGATATTAGTCGTATAGGTTTACTTATGTATGAAGCTTGATAATTAGAATAATTAATTTTATAAGCAAGTTCATTAGTTTTTTTCCTAGTATTTCAGTTGGTTTTTCAACAAATAGAATATCTATGACTACGGGTTTTTTTTTTACTAATGATAGAAAGTACTCCAAATGTTCAAGGACTTTTAATTTCATCTTTTGATCACCAGTAGGTTACAATGAGACTATGAAAACCACAAGAGCATTCGTGCCTATGACTCTTGTCTCCCGACATATGATAAAATATATATCAAAAAAGAGAGACCTTTTATTATTTTTTGCAAAAAATCATTTCTATGTATTTCTCAATATTTCCGATGTTGAGCATAACTGTTCAAGAAAATTGATAGCAAACTCTACTATATCTAAATTTCAAATACTGAATAAACTGAATTATGAAGTACTGAACATTTATCAGTACATTAGCTGGTCTCAAACACTTTCTTTCATGTATCAGAAGCAAAAAATAAACAAATCATATATTATTCAAGTTAAACTACAAATGAAAAAAAGTAAGAACTCATGTAATGATAGTGGTAATCTGCACAGAAGTGATGAACATACAATACGTTTCGACACTACGAACAACAAATGAAATGAAAACGTCCAGGATAAGTATTCGTATGTTGACCTGCAAACTAACTGTATTATATGCATTTACGTAAGACAAATATCACCATCTGATAATGTACGAGTGATAATAGTGGAGTTATACTATTTCGATCAGAGATTTGAATATTTAGTTGGTCGAGGGCAACCCAATTAAATTATAATTTATATAAAATTTTTCTTTTGCTTTTTTGCTAATTCGACATGGGTGTGCTTTCGAAATTATAAATTCGAATTTATATAAAATTTTTCTTTTGTTGTTATGCTGTGACAACATGGAAGTCGTTTTTTTTTGAATTTTTCATTTATATTCGAACTCGAATTAGGCATCTACTCTCCATAGCATGATGCTTTTTGTTAAAACAATAAAGACAAGAAAAATTTATCACTGTCAGAACAAAAGGTTTTTACTTTTTTTGCTACCGCATAGCTCGCTTCTCTTGACTATTGTGCCCTTCCCTTTGCAAAGCAGCCAGTACGGCATCTGCCGACATTGCGCGTAGATCCTTCCTTTTTTTCGACCTTGGAATCAGCAAGTTTGCACTTCGTATGGGTTGCTGATTTTTGTCTCGGATCAGATTTCAGCTTCTCGAATGGCATGCCTTGCAGTAAATATATCACAAGATTTTTGCGAAACTGCAGAATTGTCATTCCGTTCCATGTCATGTTATAAACAGAAAAGAGAAAACGACAGACCAGCACAGAATGGAAAGACCAATGAGTAGATTTGTCGAAAGACGAATGCACACGCAAATGAATCTGTAGAACTACTCTCTAATAAGATCGAATCATATCGAATGTGTTAAGTAAGTTGTGGAAGCTATCCTCTATAGTCTATCATTGCCAATGGGGTTTATTCTGTGTTCTATTCCAGCAAGCAACATCAATGTTGAAAGTGCATTTTTGGAGATGAGATATTTGTCCGATGACTTTTGCAATTGAATGTCAGTAGATTCAATAGCTGCAGAACTATAAAATTTGCTGAAATAGATCATTATTGCACGAACATATACAAACATATGGTGTCTAAAAAAGAATTGCTAACCGAAAACCATTCAAATAGTAAATGCGGTTACATTAAAAAAAATGATATGTTTAATAAAATATCCATCTTCCTTATGTATTATTTGTTATCTTTTAGAGCTTTGAGAATAAAGAAGTGACATGGAAAGAAGCAGCAAGTTATTTAAATCCATAGAAATACGAGGAATCTACAAAAGACAGTTTTCCGCCTGATTTTCGCTTTCTTGGCTTGAAGAGGTGATAGCCCTGTTTCACATATTTAAGAAAATATAACGTTTTCTATTTTTATTAGTAAACTAATTTTGACATTTTATTTGCCTATTAGAAAATAAAAAGATATTGTAACTTGAGAGTTCTCGCTTACTGAATTAATCTTAAACAATGTTTCAATGATATGTTGTTAATTGTTTTTAATTCTGGTTCTTCATCGAAAAAGTAAAGCAAAGCACTGAAAGAAAGTAGTCATTCATTTTATTGAATTGTATACAGGCTTACACCATTCATATTTGACATAACTAGCTTATTTATGTCGAACAGCATAGCACGATAGGGACTTGGATGATATTGAATTGTTTTCTTTATTTTTTCATCTTCTGTAATCTGTAACAGACGTTCAGTCTTGTGGTCGGCAATCAGCCATTCATTACAAGTACGTGAGCAGCAGAGAAATGCTCTATTTTGAACGCACGTAATATCAAGTTGAAGTAACCAGATTAGGGACGGTCATTTAATGTTACTTTAAAAAAATAATGATAAATGAATCCTTTAACTTTATTTTCTAAAGATAAATGATTGGAAAAAAAAGGGTATCATTTATTTTTTAAAGTAACACTGAATGACCACCCATAATTCCAAACTGAACAAATATTGAAGATACGCATTGAAGACTACATATAAGCAACCATCCAGATTTTATTCTCTGAACTGCTATCATCGGTAACAATATTCATTATTGGAAAACATTTATTAAATATTAAAATAATTCTAGCAGATATATTTTATTGAGTCGAATGTTAAACTATGTTCGAACATCCATTCTACATATTTTAGATAAAAAATATATAATGTAAAAGAATAAAAACGTCAATCGGATGAAATTATTCTACGATAATTTTCAATAAAGTACTTTCTTATTAATAATGGTAGTTGAGTTGAATAAATTTTGGATAATCATATATATATATGATTCTTTAAATACATCTACCCTCAATCTCTGTCCAATTTTAGATACTGGGAAAATATAAAGAATTGAAGGTCAACCAAAAAAAGCTATCATCCCACTGCTCTCCGCCTAAATCCGCCACTGAAATTGTGAATTTTTATTTCAATCTCTTCAGAATGGATTTATATTCTTGTTCGCTTGCCTAAGTAGATAATATTATTTCGAATATGTCGCCCAATTCTTCTTTCACTTGACTCATCGAAAAAAAAAAAGTTTCTATGCGTGTGATTGGTCGAAAATATCATTTAATGCGAATTCTGTTCTTGATATACAGAAAAGCGATGTAATAAAGAAAACATACAGGTAGTGATACTTCAATCGTTCCTGCTTAATCAAAACAAGTTATTTTTTGTTTACAAAGTGCTTCACAAGTGTAGTTACTTTTTCGTTGTATTGTTGTTAAGTTTGTTTTTCTCTCTTATTAATATTAAACACTAATATATATAATATTTTAGATTTATTTTTTTTTGTGTCACTTTTTAATCATATAATCTTCCTAAGCTTTCGTTACTAATTCATTTCTAACAAAGAATCAGGAGTTCCAATGATCCTAAGAAAACTCGACCACCAAATACATTAACTACACATTCTGCTCAGATCGTCTCTTTTTTTTTAGCAACTGCGATGCAGTCACAGTATAACTAGGCCACAAGTATCGATCACAGTACAATCGTACTTACGACGCATTTGCGTCGCAATTCTATCATAATTGCAAACATAGGTGCGTTCAAAGAGGTTGAATTGCTTTAAAAAAAACGAGAAATAAAGAGTAATTGTTGAACATTATCATATCCGTTCAGAAAATTATGCACAAAAATATTTTTTCTGAGTTGATCTTTCCACGTTAGCACACGTTTTTTTTAAGAATCTTGTCTGACGGAGTGCATGCATAAAATTTTATGCATGCAAGACAATCTTAGAATGGTCGAAAAACGAACTATATGTAGTAAGCATACATGAATACGTAAGATTTTTTTTCAGAGATAATACGCAAGAGTGTTGCATACAATTATTTGCAAGAGTAAGAGTCATTCACAAACTCGCATGTTTTTCTTGAAAACTTAAAAAATTGTATTTCTATGCATGTGTTTGCGATATACACACATATGCGCAACAATTGCAAATATACGCGTTTTTTTAAGTTTTCGCGTTTGACTGGATTACACATAATAAAAAAACAACAGATTCTTTTCTTTTTTATCATATTTTCAAAAACAAATGAATATTCTATTTTTCGACGAATCATCACCTCCAGTCGACGTCTTCATTGTTATTCTTCTAAAATCGTTTTTCTTACAACATCTGTTAATGAATTGAACCTGAGACAAAAAAATCTTAACTTTTATAATATAGATACAAAAGCAATCCTTTTTTTCTTTTCTCCAATAAACAAATACTTTCTTACTACTACAGTTAATTTCAATACATTACAATTTTATTATTTTCATCAAATGTCTTCATTATGTTCGATCGAAAGATGTACTCGAACATCACGTGGTTTGTGTGATTGTTGCCAACAAAATCTTTGTTTACAACATTTAAATGAACATAATGCTTTACTCACTGTTCAACTGAATCCTTTAACTGATGAAATTAATGTACTTAGAGATCGTCTTAAAACACTCAATATTCAAAAAACAATTGCGGATAGTCGTCAAAAACTTGAACAATGGCGTCAAAATTGTTATAAGAAGATTGATTATTTTTTTGAACAAAAATGTCAAGAACTTGATCAACTTGTTAATGAAAAAGTTAGCCAACAACGAGAAGAACTAAATCAAATATACTTGAAGATAATTGAACTCATCAATGCACAAGAAGCAACTCGTCAAGATATCGATTTATTGATATCAACTATTCGCCAGCTCAAAACAAATATGAGCAAAATTGAACGAACATGTTTTACGATCGATACTCGTCCATTACTAATAGATGACACGTTGATTTTCATTAAAACAACTGAACATGAACTTGATCTATCAACTCTTTCACCTATCTACAAAACAGTTCATCATTCTGAGGAAAGTTTTCGATCATTAACTAGCAACAATCGATACTTACTGATACATCAATATCCAAATTTATGTTTATTTGATAGAGAAATGAACATAGTCAAACAAATGTTATGGTCCTACGATGCAATTCAGGATATGTGTTGGTCATCAACATTAGATCGATTTATTGTCCTTGGAGAAAATAACATCTTTCTCATAAATGAAAATACAATGTCAATTGATAATATGAACACAATCGAAGAGCGAAACTGGAAATCATGTACATGTTCTGATACAGTTCTCTTTGCAAGCACAAATGGATGGGCTTCATCTATTATCGAATTCAATCTATACTCAGCAATCGAACTGATTAGAGAATGGGAATATCCTATTACATGTTCGAAAGATGAAATTATTCATGATATTGCTTATAATAACGAAAATCTCGCTCTGATCGTTAAGAATAAATCCGAAATGTCGCTACGCATTGAACTGAGATGTGCGAAGACGCTCGATTGCATCTGGTTCCTTCAACTTGATATTGAATGTCTCTACAATACAGCATTTTGCTGTTGTTCACTTACTTGTAATGAATGGCTCATTATTGACTATGAGACTCAACGCTTGGTGCAGATTACAAAAGATGGAAAATTAAAGAAAACAATTAAATATCATCCGATTCCTTACTGTGCTACTCTGTTCAACCTAAATAAGCTAGCTGTATCGACTGTGAATAACATAAACTTGCATACAATTCAATAAAATGAATGATTGCTTTCGTTCAGTGTTTTGGATTACTTTTTCGATGAAGAACTAGAATAAAAAAATTAATCGTATTTTACTGAAATATTATTTAAGGTTGATTTAATCATGACGATGAGTTATATAATCTTAATAACATTTTATCAAGGAACACGAAAAAAAAGATACAAAATATCTGACAAAGAAATTTTTTTATAATTAAGATGAATTCATTTGTTGCTCAAGTAATAAACGAGCCATTTGAACAAATGTTGGTGCTGCCATAGCTACTGATTCGTCGGATTCACCATTCACCGGTGGCTAAAATAAAGTTCAATAATCATGAAAAGATTTATGTTTTCATAAAATTTTACCATAGGAATGAATTTTGTAGAATCCTGATTACTTATTGGTCTTTGCATAGAACCATTTCGAGTTGCAAGAGTATGTGCTACAACTTCACCATGTGTTTCATTGGAAAAACTCTATTTAAAAAAGATGTTTTACAAAAAAAAAGCCAAACTCATGTCTTAAACTTACACTAAATGGAATAGAAATAGTTGATCCTTCATTAATATCATCAATATCAATTTTAGCAAGAAGTATATTCGTTATCGGACCTACGTAGAATAACAAAAAAAGAAGAGAACATGATAAAAATCAAAAAATTTCTTTATACTTGAACATGTTTTTTTAAAACGTATTTGTCCTGATGATAAATCCCAAATGACACAATCTTTATCAAGACTACCAGAATATAAAATCTGTTCATCTGCACTTAATCGAAGTGATATAACAGAACCTCTAAAAAAAAAATAAAATTCTCATAATAAATAATTTTTAAACATAATCTTTATATTCAATTTACTGATGATGATTTAATTGTTTTGAATTATTATTATCAATTGTTATTGTTGGATTTTGATGTTGAATTCCTCCAAACTAAAATTTTCATTCAAGGAAAAAATAAAGAATCTTTTCTTCTTCTTCTTATTTTTACTTGTGATGTTAATGTTCTTAATGAAACAATAAAAATTGTACCAATATCTGTACCACAATAAACTGTTTTAGAAAATGATGATGAACATATTGAATGAATTTCATTAGGAAATAAAAATGTACATAAACATTTTCCTGTAACAATATCCCATAACTAAAATTCAAAATTTTATGACTTTAGAAAAAGAAAAACAACAAAGATTATTAAAAACATACTCGAACACTAAGATCACTTGAAGCAGTTAAAAGTAAATGAAATTTTCCAATCGATATTTGACAAAGGTCATGAATTGGACCTGTATGACCTTGAAATGATTTCGTTGGAGAAATATCCAGATTTCGATCAGGATTTATTCTTTAATGAAAAGAAAAAGAATACATTTTTGTTTTTCGACTAAAACAAAACAAATGAGTGTATTTTTGTTTTTACTCTTCAATATTCCATCGATGAATAAGATTATCTTCACCAACAGATATCAAACAATCTTGATCTTCATCAAATAATAAATGATTTATTGTTCGAATATGTGCTGAAAGTGTTATTAAATGTTGGCCATTATCAAGCTAAACAACAACAACAACTACAGATTGTATATTTTTATTTTAAATTTATATTTTTTTTTACTTTATAAAGAAATATTTTATTTCCTATTCCACAAGCTAAGACAGTTGAATCACGAATAAATGTCATTGAACTAATAGGTCCTGCAACTGTTATTTTTTTATAATCTCGATTCTAGAAATAAATGTAATAAAAAAAGAAAATGAAATTAATTATAAACCAATTAGAATCCTACTCGACTATTTAATTTCCAAACATATATTGAAGGACGATCAACAGCAGCAGCATAGATATGATCACGAGAACATAAGAGACCATGACATGCAACAGGTGCATCACATTTAAATGTCAGAAGAACATTACCATTTAATCCATTAAAACCGCTGATTGTCCATGGATGAGCTTGTTGAGTAGTAATTAAAACAGTCGGTTGATATTGAACCATGGCTGTTGTCTTTGCAGGAAACATGACAATAGTAGTAGAATGTGTTTTTTTTTATTCCAAATTTCAGATTGGATCCAAGAAATGAATCTCTATCTAAAGAGAAATAATCTAATTAGTCAATACAATAGATGTCGCTGTAAAAAAAAACAAGAAAGAATAATTAAATTTAAACAATGGATAATTTTAAAATAATCGATGTGATGGAAAATTATCACAAACACCAGACATACATCATAGAGAAGCGATCGATGGAAAACAAACATCAAATATCCATTGCAATCCGTGAAATACCAACACATTTACTATGATGATCGAGACCGAAAGTCCACTAGTTGAACATCGAAGATTACTGAATTCAGATAGAAAATCTAAATTTTAATAATCAAAAAACATTACAGTAATACCATTATCCTAAGATGCCATATTATACAATAATATCGAATCTGTCTGTTAATTGATCTACTATTCATTTTACAATATAATCTATTGCATTGTTTTTTGAATAACTTTTGATAGGAACATCATAGAGACTTGCAGTTTTCACCATTTAAGAGAGAAGACCCAGTTCCATTGAAATATATCAAAATTTGACTAGCCAGCAATTAGATGACTTCTTGGTGGAGATTTTCGAAAACGATGTTCCGAAGCTTTTTTTCTTGCTATTCAGACTTTTAATAGGACTAGTCCATGGAAAAATTTGTTCACTTTCGATCTACTTTCGAAAATATTGAGATAACAGAGTCAAATCATTTCGAATCGAAAAAGAAATATCACTATTTGATTCAGTCTGATGAATTACAGTTGCCTGGCAGCTTTACCAGATAATCATAGGTCGATTGGTTGAAATTGGGACTCTTAGGAAAAGCTAGGAATGTCGGTCTTGCGTAGATCAAAAGAGAAGGATTTTTTTTATCGATTAGTTCTATTAAAATTCTAAACAGAAAAGAAAGTAATGCCAGAATACTGTTTTCGAAAATTTTCACAAAGAACTCATTTGATTGGTCAGTTGCTGCCAAATCATGTTTCGATATATTTCGATGGTCACTGATCTCCTGTCTTGAATGGTGAAAACCGCAGCTCTCTATGATGTTCCTATCAAAAGTTATTCAAAGAACAGTGCAACACATTATATTTTGAAATGGATAGTAGTTTTCTCCATCAAAGCCTGTCTCGCTACTTGCGATGTGTCACCTAGACGCAAAAGTTTCTTCTCTATCTTGTTTTCAAGATGATTATATGTACTTTTCTTTTCACGGAAAAGTAGTAAATTTAAATTATTCTTTTTTTAGAATATATCACTTTTCTCATATTTCCCTTTGATGAGATCAAGGTACAAAGAATAAAAATGTAGTTTTTATTTATCATCTTTTTTATCAAGTGAAAAAAAGATGCCTAGGTCAAGAAGTACCAGCCATTTCCGACCGGAAAATGGTAGGAACTTGGAAGCAGGAATGCAGGTGATCAGATTCCATGTCCAACTCTGGCCAGTTACGATCAGAATTAGAAAAATTCGGCCACTCAATTCTTGCTTTCAAGTGTCTAACATTTCTTTAGTTTCACGGCTGAAAATTCACGCATCTTGGAACTAGAATCATTGACCTATGTGAGTTTTTCTTTAATACATATTTTATGAAACTTTGTTAGTGTACATTTTGATGGATTGTGCTTAGAAAAAGAACGTGTACATGTACACTTTACTAGTATAAGCCAGAATTGCTGGGCCAAAGTTATTGGCCTGACTTTTATCTTTTGGAATTCAAATGTTGATGCATTACCTCATTATAAAAACACATTGCGTTAATGCAAGCCTTTCTTTTATGAAAAAAATATTTATGATGTTTGTGTCTTTATTTCGTGTGAGAAACTTATTATTATTTCCCTATTGGTAACTCTCGTATAAACAGAACGTACAAAGACATTTTCTTCTGAGTTTTTATTAGAAATACTGTTTTGATGTTGTTAAAAAAAATGTTTCTTTTTCCTTATAAGTAGTCATCGATAGTGATCATACTTCATTGAGACGAAAACGACTTTTCTAGTTTATGTTAAAAATCTAAAGTAGCAGAGATTTTTGTTTTTATTCGTGGGGAATGTATACAATTTAGGAATATGTTTATTTAAAAAACAAAAGAGAATAGTAATTATAAGTGTAGAGAAGATATGAGGTTTTTATTTGGTTGCTAAAGACCACCATGTCCATGTTTTTATCTTCTACAGTGATGGTGTTGTTGTTGTCTCGAATTTTTGATTACTTGATTTTATGAGTAATGAAATCTTTTTTTTCTTGTTGTGTTGTAATTGCTTCGCGTGGAGTTCAAAAAAATAAGTCTGGGAAACTAATCAGAATTTTTAAGTTTTATTAATAAATATCAACGCAGGATTACATATCGAAAAAAGAGCGTCGATTTAGGGAATTTATATCGATGTCAAATACTGTAGACACACATACTATGGACTTGGAAAGCTACGGCTATTGGCAAAAGCATTGAAATTATTGCCATTGTTTTGTTGAGGAACATTCTTGCCTTCAGCCCACCATACTTTATTGTCAGGACCCATCAAAGAAATAGTTACATAACCAGGATTACCAGGGAAGGGAATGCATTCAGTCTGTTCAAGTTGAGTAATTTTGTAGCTAGTCTTGGATCCATTCAGGTCAACTATTACCGTATATTGTCCTCCATTAGGATTGGCACTCTTAACGATAGAGTGAACAGCAACGCAATCTTGAGCATCATTACGATATTGAGGAACATCACCATTTACATTGTTCTTAGGATGGATGCGATACCACCAATAGAATTGGTCATTAGTAACGGTAGGTCTGGCGTTATTCTTGTACCACTGAATATAATGTTTTGAGAGTTCTAACCAAGCATCATGATGCATAGGTTGTGGACTGTTAATCATACTACTGATGCCTGCCATATCAGTAGGCAGATCACTGCTAATAGAACACATGTAGGAGGATTCAGAATAATCATTCCAAGTAATAATTTGAACAAAATCTGGTTGTAATGAAATAATCTGTTGCCATCGTTCTGGTAAAAGTCTTTCGGAACTGTAGATCCAGTTCTTATACCATCCATTTCCCCATACATATGTGTAGAACCATGGAGCA